GCTGCACACCAGCCCGGTGCTGGACATGCACGTGTCGGTGCGCGTGGTGCAGTTGCAGTAGTCGCCGGTCCAGTCCGAGTCGCACAGACAGTCCCCGCAGCTGCACTGCCCATGGCCTGGGGACAACCCAGAGGCCGACAGGACCCTTGAGCATCCCCATAGGTCCCGATAGCAATCACCCAGATGGGGCTGTTGGCACGGCAGGGCAGAGCAGCCGCCCAGGACAACCCCTTCCTGCTGTCCTTGGGGGGGGACACAGCTCTCATCAAACATCAACCCTTACTGCAACCCCAATGCTCCTCTTGTTCCACCCAAACAACGCAGGCTGCTGGCAGCAGCAGCTGGAGATGCTCAATCAGATCAATCTCTGATCTAGTCAAGCTTCGCTTTGGTTTTTAATCTCAGATTGAGCCAGGACATCTGGTTAAACCCTCCAAATCCCACTTTATTCCCAGCCCCGGACCACGCAGGAGAAGCTGACTGCTGAGAAAGGCCCGACGAGCTCTGCACTCTGAGAGACTGGCTGAATCAGCCAGCCAGACATGCTCAAACCCTGCCAAAGCCTGCAGCTATTTGCATTGTGGTTTGATTACAGCTCAAAGACACAGTAAGCGATGGAAATGCCACGGAGCTGGCACATGCTGACCCGTCCCAATCCCTGAGCGCACCAGGACACGTCGGGAATGCTGCTCCCAGCAGGAGACTGGGCAGGAATGATCCCCGCCGTGGTCTTGGAGACGTGGGCATGAGAAATCAATGTGTAACCCCATGAATGAGGAACTGGGGCTGAGTCACAGGAAAACAGTGGCACGCTGGGTGGCAAGGCATGGAAACAACAGGGAGAAGTGGCTCGGTGGGGTGGCGGGGATGCCAGCAGGGTCAGACAGAGCAGGTTAATGAACAGCTCAGCCAGGCTGGGGCAGAGCATCATCAGGCCTTGTGCAAACAGGCAGCTGGAGCAGGCGCCCGGAGGCACAGAGGGCACCAACTGTTCGGGATGAGGGAAAAGCCAGCATTTCCACCAGTGGCAGCAGCAGGCTCATAAGATAAAGGATCAATCCCAGCAGCACAGAGGCTGAAGTTGGGATGAGGGGCAGGTGAGGTCCCAAAAACTCGATCTGGGGACATAAGGGAGCAGGAACCACGTGTTATCTGGGCAGCAGGTTTCATCTCTACAACTACCTGGAAGAAGGTTATAGTGAGGTGGGGGTCGGTCTCTTTTCCCAAGTAACAAGTGATGGGACAAGGGCAGGTTTAGCTGGAGCTGAGGAACAATTCCTTGCCCAGGGGGTGCTCAGGCATTGGAACAGGCTGCCCAGGGCAGGGCTGGAGTCACCGTCCCTGCAAGTGTTCACAGCCCGTGTAGCCGAGGCCTCAGTGCCAGGGGTCAGTGGTGGCCTTGGCACCGCTGGGAATGGTTGGACCTGATGAGATTAAAGGTCTTTTCCAGCCTGGTTGATTCTACGATTCTATAACAGTTTTCTGGGGATTTTGGGCCTTGTATCAGGAAAAGTGGTGGCTTTTTTGACACTGTGCATACCGAGGGAGGCTGGGAATAGGAAAGGGGGTGGCTGCCTCTCTTCTCATCCCTCCTTGAACCACTTTTGGGGTGTTCCGCTCCTGAAGCGGATGTGCCACACTTTCATGCCCCAGTCTTGGGCACTGCCACCCCTCTTGCATCCACTGAGAGGATGGGGCAGAGCTTGGGGGTTCACTCAGAGCTCTAGTGCCTACTGAAGATGTGGATGGGAGAAACTCTCTACAGAGAAGAGGCCCTGGCACATCAGGACACGTGAAACCAGTGTTGGGATGGGTGTTCTGCAGAGAGGGACTCCTTCCCCCTTCCCCAGTGCCTGGCATGGGAGGAGAACCCAAGGACCTGGTCCTCTCTCCCCAGAGAGGAGATCAGCAGCAGGCAGGGCTGGAGCAGGGCAGTTTGGTAGCACATGGAAGAGATGAACATTCAGTAGAAGAGATGCTGTAAGGCCAGCGAGGGAGAGGATTCGCTTCCCCAATGCTTTTGCCAAAGGGGAGACTTCAAGAACTGGGTAGGGGATAAAAACTGTCTCTCCCCACTCCTGTCTCTCCACCCTGGGGTTTCCTTCTGCAGAACAATACCTCTGATGTGTGGGTGCTGTGATTTGAGCAGGGTCCCTGCCCTGCGCACCCTTGGCTGCCCACCAGCCCCCTTGGTTGGAGTCCTGAGTCTAAGCTAGGACTGAGGTCTGATTTTAACCCTCTAGCCCATCACCCTACCACAGCTCTCAGGCACAGGAGGTGACACCAGCCAAAAAGGGAGTAATTCCCCTGGCATTGCTTCAAACCCAGGGCTGGTCATAGAATCCCAGCCTGGTTTGTGTTGGAGGGACCTTAAAGCTCCTCCAGCTCCAACCCTTGCCACGGGCAGGGACACCTTCCACTGGAGCAGGTTGCTCCAAGCCCCTGTGTCCAACCTGGCCTTGAACACTGCCAGGGATGGGGCAGCCACAGCTTCTCTGGGCACCCTGTGCCAGCGCCTCAGCACCCTCACAGGGAAGAGCTTCTGCCTTATCTCCAACCTGAACTTGCCCTGTTTCAATTTAAACCCATCACCCTGGTCGCTATTCCCTTGTCCTACTGTGGTCCAGGGAGAGCCACTGCTGAGCAAGCCAGAGGTGGGGACAATGCGTGGGACAACCCCCTCGGTGCCTGTCCCTCACCTGAGCACATCTGCCCCTTGAAGCGGACGCAGGAGAAGTCGTCGCACTCGCAGTACTTGCCCGTCACCCTCCCGAAGTCGCTGCTGTGACACACGCACTGCCCGCAGATGCACTCCCCGCGCTGGCTGCACAGGGGCTGGCCCGCCCGGGGGCTGCAGTTGTCCTGCTGCGAGGGGTTGTACTCCTCCTCCGAGCACTCGCAGTGCGAGCCCAGCCGCCCGGCGTTGCAGCGGCACACGCCGCACTCCAGGGTGCCGTTGCCGCGGCTGCACGTGGAGCTGTTGGCCTCTGCTTGGCTCTCGCAGGAGCAGTCGCAGTCGAAGTTCACCACCACCGTCAGGCTGTCTTTGAAGCCCACGGGTTTGATGGTGAAGGATTTCTCCCGCTCCCGTGGGCATCCCCGTACCTTGGCCTCGATGCTGAAGCTCACCTGGGGGGGGGGGCAACGGGGGGGGGGGGGCAAAGGGGTGCATCCCGCCATCAGTACCACCAGCACCGTGTCGTGGTACCCACCCCAAGCTTAAGGAGTCCAGAAATGGGACCCACCACGTGGCTTTGGGCTTTTCAGTGCTGTCCCAACACGGTTTGGGGCAGGGCACCTACCTGCCACAGTAACCACGCTAAATCCCATTCTCTGTGCCCAGCAGCCTGGCCCGAGCTAAAGGACCATAGAGTTTGCATCCAGCAGACTCAGAAAACCATTTTCATCCTTGCTGAACCCCTGTCTCCACTGCAGAGACCCCCGTGTCACCAGGGAGGTGGTGGGCAAGGAGATGGTGCTGGTGGAGAGCATCAAGCAACACCGCTACACGGAGGGGGAGAAAAACCAAGTCCATGGACAGGATCCTCACCGTGTCCCCAATCTTGAGCCCCATGCAAGACTTGAGCCCAGGGATGACCTCGTCGTTGAGGCAGGTGGCATTGAAGGCCAGGGACAGCTCTTCAGGGAGGTCACGCACCTCCAGTTCCACCTTGGAGCGGATTTTCTAGGGGAGGAGAGAGCAGGGATGAAGGTGACAGCACAGGCTGGGCCAGGGACCAGTCCCAGGGAGGGGGCTCCCCCTGCACCACGATGCTCACACACACAGAGGGAAGGAGCCAAGAGCCTCGAGTCTTTCTCAGCACTTGGCTACATCATTCCCCACTGGGAAATGCCTTCGAGGATGGGAAGGGGCAGGCGGTGAACACAGTGACCTCCCTTTCCCAGCATTCCCACATGCCTGGGTGGAGGCAGCTGCTCACAGCTGGCTCAGGAAGGATGCTCAGGGCTGGGGGAGCTGCCAGATCCGTGGGCTGATGCAGAGTGAAGCACTGGCTATTTTGGGAGGAAGAGAGCTGTGTGGGGCCATCACATTGCACACTCACCCCGTAGGAGTCCACTATGAGCTGCAGGACGTTGCTGGAGTCTCTGGACAGGGTGCCCACGGTTGTGCCTGGGATCAGCTCACTGTAGTTCTGGAGAAATATCATAAGCATGGTTTGCTCGTGACTCGGCCAAACCCTGTCTGGGCACATGGGAGCTTCCCTAGGACAGGAGACCTCCAAGCTACACCTGGCCACCCATGGCCAGCTGCAAAGGGTGCTCCTTGGGACCCACCAGCCCCCTAAGAAGGTGGCTTTGCACAGGAGCTGTTACCTGGTAGAGGCCAACGACTGTATCTGTCACAGCGAAGATCAAGTTGATGTTCTTCTGTGAGAGTTTCTCAGTCATCAGGCCCAGAGAAGGATAATCCTGGGGAAGAGGAGAGGCTGTACCCTAGGAACATGTGCCCCCAATCACCTTGGTCCCCATCATGCTCTCCAGCCATGGCTGGATCACCTCTCCCATCCCATGGGGGCCCTCAACAGGAGCTCCGGGCTCCACAACCCATCCACGTAGGTTGGGATTTACCAGTGTGGTGGAGGCGGAGTAGAAATTGTCCTTGTCAATGTGGCACTGGGCATCATTGGGCTGCACGATGCCAGCCAGCCTGCCATCCAGCGCGATGTGGGTCTTGGCATCCGTGGTGAAGACCAGGAGGTGGGAAGCATCATTCCTCCAGCCGATTTTCTCCTGTAGTGAAAGACAGCTCCCAGTTGTGCAGCAGCCCCGCGTGCCAGCACCCTGCTACTGCCTTTGCTGCTGCACCGGGGCATGGCTGAGGGCTGCAAGCCCTCCCATTCCCAGCAAAATCAAGGTGCAGCCACAGGACATGATGATCCTTTTGGGCTGGTTACTTTAGGGCTGACATGGGATCATTATGCCCCATCCCTGGCAGTGTTCAAGGCCAGGTTGGACACAGGGGCTTGGAGCAACCTGCTCTAGTGGAAGGTGTCCCTGCCTGTGGCAGGGGGCTGGAACTGAAGGAGCTTTAAGGTTCCTCCCAGTCCAAACCATCCCATGATTCTGTGGTCATCAGTTCCCAAGTACCTGATCTGCTCCTCTCTCCTCCCAGGATCACGTAAGGGTCCTGCTCTTCCCTTGCCCTGGCTGTCGGTCTAGAAACATTCTGCCTGAACGTTCATCCTCTGCAGATCTGAGCCACGCAGCAGCTCCACAGGACTTATGCTCCTGTCCTGGTGGGCTTGGGTGGTCTCTGCCAACCCACCAGCCCCAGCCCAATGACCATCTCCCAGCCCCAGCCCGGCCTTCTTGTCCCTTACGTCGCACACGGTGGCCTGGATGATGGCATCGAAGCCACCCTCGGGCGCGTCGCGGTTCCGTGAGACGCTCTGCTTCCGCACCTCCTCGTTGAAGCGGGTCACCTCGTCCGTGAGCGACAGGACGTGCTTGTACCCAAACATGGGCAGGCAGGTTTCCCCGATCCTGCGGGAGAGCAGGCAGGGCATGAGGGTCACGGGGCTCTCCCACCTCCCATCCCACATCCCAGGGGCACATCCAGGATGTCTTGGAGGGATCCAACCACCCCGAGAGCCCAGGGACACAGCCAGAGGCTGGTGAATCAACCACATGTTCTAAAGAGGGGCTCAGCCTCTGTCCTGCTGGGAGTTTGGGAAGTCGCTTTCTCACTTACTCATAGCAAGGGTTGATGATGGCTTCTGGAGGAGAGATATACATATAGGGGGAAATGGGCTTGTCCACAAAGGCTCCAAAGCCGATGCGTAGGTTGCTGGTGAGCTTGCGCATCTCGCTGGCCAGCTTTGTGCCCAGGTTCTGGATGTTCCTCAGATCGTCCTTCATGGAGTTGGACAGGTCCATCAGGTAGTAGATGTCCACGGGGTAGTCTTCCACTTGACGTACTTGGATACGAAAGATCTGGGAATCATCTGTAATGTGACAGGGCAGGGGAGTGAGAGGTGCTCCCCTGGGAGGAGCAGAGGGGGATCACTGCAGGACTAAGGAGAAAATCAACC